TGTTTCAAAATGCACAATTCAATTAAACTGTACAACATCAGCCGCACACTTTAAGGAATACACATTTAGGAGAATTATAATTAAATATAAGAAACAATATTTGGGCTTTTAAGCAATCGCTTTGAAGGTGTTGGACACATCCTGAACACATCGTGATTTCACTGCATAAACTGTATCGGCTTACTGTGCAGAAAAGCAATAGGAAATAATTAAAGTAAAAATATTTAAAGGCACCCAAAGCAGAATGGATTCATAGCTGCCAGAGGCCCTGAAAGTGGTCAATACGCACAGAGGCCGTGCAAAAGGAGATGTCACATACGCTGACATCAAAGAGGAGGAAGTCAGTTACACTCAAACAGCTAGGACATGCAGCAAGGAGCAAATCAGGATGCCTGATAGCAGATGCTCAGCTTAGACACTGTGCATGAATGGAAAGAAATGAGAAAAGGGACTATTTTAAAGAGAATAGTCTTTCTCATTATTAAGGCCACAGGACATACAAGACCTAAAACTGAAGTTTATGTACATGACTGGACTAAACTAGTTTGAAAGGAGAGAGAAACAGCCTGCAAATAAAGGCAGTACAAATGAAAGAGCGTATAAAAATCCCTGCTTTGACATTCGTCAGGGTGAGGCGCTCCTGATGTAAAGCTGGAGGGCTGCTCCATTCATTAAGGGAGTTCTTCCTTTTTTTTTTCTTTATTTGCTTGTTTAGTAAATCTTTGGAACTAAAGCAAGACACCGTTACAGGATATTTTGAAGAGCTGGAGCTGGAGTAAGAACAGTGTAGGTAGCAGAGTGTCATGGAGGGGGGTCGGGCAGTGGAGAGACACCACACCCTGTCTTGGTTAGACTTGATTTATCAGACAATGTGTAAAATCTTAATGAAATAATGAAGTTACCACTGTTGTGCCATATGCATAAATTGCATGCAGTCCCTCTCTGTTTGCAGATAGCACTGCTGTGTGATGCTGTTTAATTCAAAGAAAAGAAACTACATTTCTACGTTTGTTTGTTCTGAAAGCCATGATGTCCAAGACAAATATACAATAATTAATGCTGCATGTACTTTGGCCTTTATTGGAAGAAAATATAATAACCAAGACTTTAGGTGGCCATCTTTCTAAGTATCCCCTGCTCTACCTCTTTTTATTTTCTGCCGCACATGCTAGCATACCAAAGCATCATAACACACATGAATACACAATTTTATCACAAACATCATCTCTGCCAACGTGGCAGGGATTTCTCAGGTTAATTGCTCAACAGATGGATAGAATAAGGCCTGAGCCCATGTGCCAGTCTAGACTGAAAATGGTGCCACCGTGCATGGAATGCATTAGACCTACTTGTGACTATATAATATCGAATATGTTTCTGATTAGTTTATCTGCAGCTTAATGCACTTTACTAAATACAGGTAAAGTGACTTCATTACTATATTGTTCTCCAGATATCATGATTCTCGTCTGTGCTGTGTCTTCATCCTATGTTTTCCCAAGTTGTTTTAGACCCAGCCCCTGTCCTTGTTCACTTTTCTTGCTCTTACTACCTGCTCAGCCCACACTCACCTGCCTTTCGTCAGTGTAATCACTCTACCAGCTTAAAAGCCAGCATCCAGCATTCATTCTCTGGTAGATTGTGCACAAAGAAAATGTCTCTTGTGACTCTCTAGCGTCCATCCATCTGTGCCTGTCCTGCTTCTGGCTCCTGTGGACTCTGACCTTGCCTGTTTCAACTGCCTGATTCACTTGTGTTCAGGCATTTGCTTTTCCCTGATTTCGGGAAAACGGTTTTAGCCTCTGTGACCTTAACTAAGCACGTTCCACACACTGGGTTGTTTGTATTCCCTGCGGCCACATGCTTGCCTTGTCATTCCTTATAGCTGCTCTCTCATGTTGTTTAACTGAAAGTAAAATGTGAACCTGGACATTGTGAGATGTTTGACTCAAGATATTATTGCTTGTATATAAAGCTTCTGTTTTTCTGCCACACACTGTACCTGCCAGTATACTATATATACCTTATTCACTCCTCACCACCACCTCCTTGTTCCTGGTCTGAATCTGGGTCTTAAATATAAAAATATATAAAAGGTGACACCTAATTTACACAGTTTTTCTTGAGAAATACAGGAGCTTATATTTGGAGGTATGTTCCTCCAGTTAGCTTTCTCCCAGTGAAGAAGGAAAGCTCCTCAGATGAATCCTGACAGGTGTGGTGAGGTGGTTGTGCCTCCGTCTTTGTCTCCCGCTTCCTCTCTGCCCATTAGCCCAAAAAGCACCTTGCTTGCAGATAATAATCACATGGCTGCATCGTGATCGAAATCTTCAGTGTAGCAGTGACCGCCTTTTAATCTTGTCCACAGGAGAACATCTAAAGGTGCATTGAAACGAAGCGCTCACGTTGAAAGGTGGAATACATCAGCTACTGGGCAAACCCTAGAGTATGTTTGTGTGATAATTTTGTATGCTGAGTCATTCTTTACATGAAATCACACAAGATGTGTGTGAAAGTTTCTCAAAGGCCTATCAGGTGATCTCTAGAGGCAGGACCCTTAACTGACTGTATAGAATGAACTGATGAGTCCTCATACTGTAGTGTTCAAAAGTGAGAACATTTGTCACAAATGTTTGCTGTTCTTGTTTCGGTGACACTGGGGACAAAAAAATAACCTCAGTAAGCTGTGGCCACAACTTAGTGAAGCTGGTTTTTTCTCCCCACTATGATTGCAGGAGCTCCATGGTGTATACATCTTTGACAGAGGAATGAAACATGTTTTGTGTCATTTTAAAGGTGTTTTACTGAAATAATTCACTTTGAAAAGTCCTTTGAAGTATCCCCTGTGCCCATCTTATCAACATTCTGCATCCCTAATCATCCAGAACTTTCTAATCATGTTGAGTAGCTACCTCAAATTCTCAGTGTTGCTTATGAATTTTAGTCATGAAACACACTAAACATTTTCCTCTTGAGGCCTCATTCCTCCTCTTGTTAGGTCCTTATCACAGGAGTGAGATAAATATGTCTAGGAAGGAGATATAATGGGATGCAGGGCTGAGCCACAACTTTCAACGATATGTTAAAAAAAAAAAAGGCAGAGACTGGAGACATTTGCATTCTAGCGAGAGAGTGCCCATAGTGCTGCTGAAGATCAAAACCCACCCTGTCATGGCAGAATACCCTGAAATAAAGGGTTACAGGCACCAATACCCCTGCACTATGGAACAATTAAAGTGTAAAATAAATACATATACAAAAGTGCAGGGATGGTGACTGTGACTCGACTGGTAGCTAAGAGCCAAGAGTTTAAATTGAATTTGAAGTACAGTTGTCTTTACTAGCTAACACAGAACCAGGTGAATTACAGACAGCCTCCTCTTGACCAAATGACAATTTTGGGTGCTGAAACCTCAAAGAGTACAAACTAGACTGCTCAAAAAAAGAAAAGTCCCCTATGGAGCACATACTCTTAACCTTGTCTGTAAGAGTTTTGTGTTAGCATCCAAATGCTGAAAGCACAGACAGGAAGCAGCTGATGACTTTGTTGAATATCTCTGGGTACAGGTTGTGATCCAGGTTGACAAAAGGTGTCCAGCACAAAACAAAGCCTCAAACTAAGCTGATGTGTTTGAAGAAAGGTGAACAGTACTGTGACAACATGGAGTGACACAAGATGGCAGAGTAGGCTCCAAAGTGTTCATGTAATCAGGTATCAGGCTTCTGAAGTTCAGGAGGCATTAAAGGAAAGCAGACAGACAATCAACAGAGAAAGCTGGATAAACCTCTTCCACATAAATGTGAACACTCAGTGAACTCTCTGTGAGCTTGTGTTGCCTTCTGGACAAAATGTCAACACGGCACAAAAGAGCATTTTTAATGTACAAACAGAATGCCGTGAAATTCAGTGAATCAGCACATTAATACTCCCCAAAAGGATTTTTTTTTTTAATTTTCCTGTAACCTTTTCTTTGGCAGCATCAGTGGACAAATGTAACATTTTTAGCCTCACTGCTGTTAAAAGTGAGCAGTAATATCATTTGTATGTTCGGCCCAAGGAACTGCATCCCTGAACACTGCAGCCTCGTGAAAGTCTATAAAGTGACTCCAGGCCTTTGGGGCTTTAGGCTTATAAGCAGTTGATTTATAGCAATAGATGAATGAGCTGTTTTATTATCGTCTATGACTGAAAGTAATCTAAAGGCGGATGTGTGCAACTGTGCTTTATCTACCCCCTAAAGTTAAACTAATTCATATACAATTTCAGTTAAAGAACAGAAGAGAATAAACACCTCCTCTGATCACTAGGAAACTATTTCTTTTATATGTCCCTAGTATCTATGCTGGATTAAATATTGATTTGAGCTGCATGAATTTTTTAGAGAAAACAAATTAATGCTATGGTTTATTGATGCTTGTCTTATGATGATCATGAACTGGACATTCCTCTCACGTCAAAACGTGGAGTTTATAAATAATGGTACACACATCAGCACTCACACAATTGGTGCATCATCAAGATGAGTAGTCTTGGCGAAACGAGGCTGAGACAATGTAATGGCAAGGGAGCAGGTGTTTAGGCCTTAGAGAAATCAGAGAGCTTGAGTTGTATGCTGAGAAAGACTAACCTCGCTTTTCTTTCACTCCCATAGCTGTCTTCAGTTTGTCTGCCCTTTTCCCACCTACATTCATCTTTGATCCTTGTTGTTTGTCTTCATTTCATTTCTTTTTTGGCTTTACTTCATCCTACTCAGTTTTAGATTTTATCTGAGTTTTTACTTCCCACTATCCTGTTCACTCAGCTTGGTTCCACTTGTCCCCAGAAAGCCACTAACTCATTTATTCTCCAGTATCTGATGGCGTCTTTTATTACAAGCAACATCTCAGTCATACATGAACATGTGCATAGAAAGATGAATGCAAGACTAAAACATTTAATCTTTTTTTAATCTTATTTACAACACCTTCCAGTAAACACTCTATGATAAACCTGCCACCATGTGGTTTACAATCCTGCTTAATTTGTAAAGATACCAAAACTCCTGCCATTATCAGAACATTGGGCAGGCAGCTCTAAATCACAGGCAGGTTTGTTAATGAACAGACATTAAAAAAAAAACACTGAAAATGTTTCCCCTGTGCATTATATCCAAACAGTTTTTACTCCAGGCACATTGCCTCCACATCAATACATGCATCTCATTCAGAATGCTTTGACTCTTGATAGGGACCAGATTGATCCCTCTAGCATAGTTCAAGTGAAATAACTTGAATTTTGATTTGTGCATGCGCTTGTGAGACGCTTATGGTCATGATGAAAGATGGGGAGAGTTGAGGAGGTGTGTAACATCAGTTAATCCATACGCTGCGGTGGCAGTGGGCCTCAGAACGAGGTGGCCTCCAGGTTTAAGATCAATTTATCAGTCTTAATGCTCAATCCTGGCTAAAAAGAGCTTCCAAACTTACATCAGTCAGAAAGATCTGAACTGTAGCAAGGAGCAGTACACATATTATACAAGACATATCCACAAGAAGATTCATGTGGGATGCATGTGAAATGTCTTACTTGAGGAGCAGTATTGTTCAAATGGAGAGAAACAAAAGTTTGAGCCTTTGCTGAGGTCAAAAAAGTAAAAATAGTTTTTTGTTTGCATTTACTGCACACAACAGTATCATTTTATTTCAGTGATTCACCTTGTTTCTGTTGCATAACCCGTTCACAAAGCAGGTTTGCTTCCAACCATGACCAGTATACACACCTGTGCTTGCTCTTTAGTAAATGCACCATGCTTGAGTTAAATCACGAGTGTACAGGCTCATTCCCATTTTAATGTCCTGGTGAACCGCCTTCCTCAGCAGCTGAGGATCTTGATGAAAGCCCGTCTGAATTCGATGTTAAAGGTGGTGTAGATAATAGGGTTGAGGGCACTGTTGACATACCCCAGCCAAGTGAATGCACTGTAAAGCTCAGGAGGCACGTAGCATGTCCTGCAGTGGGTGTTCAGAATGTGAGTCACAAAAAACGGCAGCCAGCAGATGAGAAACACCCCTGGAGCAGCCAGAGAAGAGAAAGGTATGGAGAAAGGTCGACGGGGAACAGAGACAGTAAGTGAGAGAGAATGTTCAACAAAACAGAGGTTGAAAGAAAGTAAGCAGAACAAAATGATGAGTAGATGGAGAAAGCATGAATGTGAAACAGGGAAATGTGTTTAGAGTAAATTCATGAGGGGAGTTCAGAAGTGTGAAGAATGTGAGTAAAAGAGAAAATTAGAAAAGAAATCAGAGTATTCATGTTAGTCGGGATCACAGTTCACGTTTGCTGAATCCCTAAACTGCAGCTGCCTTTCCAAAACCAAAACACATATTCAAAAGTTTATCACCATGTACTGTAATGCTAAGGCTATCTTGCACTACAGTAACTAAACTCCTATTTTATTAGGATCTGTAAACCTTAACCTTAACCTGAACCTTTTAGCATTATATTTTGTCTGTAAATATCACGTCCATATTCCGTAGAAGGAAGTGTGACAGGCACAGAAACAAGCTTAGAGAATGGTCAGTTAAAACACTTTTAGAGCATGCAAACTATTAACTTTTGAAAATAAGTCAAATCTGTGGACTGAATTAGTGGCGTTTCAGCTAGAATTTTATCTTATGTGCAATTCTGTAGTATTATTTGTTGTCTCACAGTAGCACGTTTTCTATGAGCCCTTTAAATATGAGGATTCTGGATCACCACATTCAGGATATTACTTAGATCCAGATCAGACTTTGGTATGTGCTAGATCTTATTTTGACCCTTTAAAAAAATTCTTAGATCCAAATGAAGATAGGGAACCAACCAACTACCCAACAAACATGGCAGTAAAAACATTACCTCCACCTGTACTTTTGGTATTCATATGCAAACCTTGAAGTCATTTAATATTCCCAGCAGCAGGCAACAGACTATAGGCTACTTTATTATGTATGTACAACTATAAATGCCGTAGGATAGTGGAAAGGCTCATTAAATTGAAGGACTTTTAATTGAGGTCACAACATCACAAGGAAGCAGTGGTCAGTTGGCTGAGAAGCAGGTGGGAGGTATGGACTGAAATTATCTGTGCACCACTGACACCGGTGTAATGTAATCAGACACTTCTGATTACATTTTTGTAGGCTAGATCTATGTTGTACCAAAGCTAATTGGACCAGGCTTACAGAAACAGGCCTGATAATTGGAGTATGTGGAAGCTATGTCAGGTGCTATAGCATGTGTCTGGACATACACTGTGAACTTTAAGCAACTGTCTGTATTACTCTTTCATTTCCTCAAGTCATTTGACTTAAGGAAGCCTCTACTTACCAAGCACAATAGCTAGCATCTGAGTGGCCTTTTTCTCCCGTGCATGCATGCTCCTGAATCGTGAACTGTTGGTATGAGAGTGAGGCATTGGCCGCACTGACGTGCGTGTTTGTCCATTGGACAAATCCTTCACCTCGGAGCTCATCTTGACGGGTTGCTCATTTTGGGTGGTGTCATCCGCCTCCTCTTCCTCTTGCTCCTGCTCCAGATCTAGCTCGGTACGGCCACAGGAGGCGTGGCTGATGCTGCAGTAGTTCTGTGTATCGACTGGGGGCATCACTGAGTTCTCTACTGGACCTGTTTTTGGGTGTTTGCGCCACAGGCACATTGAGAGCAAGTTGAGCTTGGAGGAAGCTGAAGGCTCTACACTCTGCTGTTGGGACAAAAAATATTCAGTTATCAGAAGCTTATTCAAGAAGACAGATTACTCACAATCAGCACATACATTTAATGACCTACTAACTCTAATGACATACACATAATAAAATGTTACTTAATTAAAGCTGCACTAATCAATATTTATATATATTTTTTGGCCTCTAATGTTCACTTCACTGCTCTCATCAGCCTCCTTTCAATCCACAAAAGGCAGTACTCTTTAGTGACAACACCTCTGATAAACCCGCAGTACACCACCTGCATGGCACCAAGTGCCAAACAAAGCTAGCAACTGGCTGGTGGAGCTAGCTGCGAACCAACATAGTGGAGCAATTAGCTAGTAAAGAGCTAGAGAGTTTCCTGTTGAGTTGGACCAACAAATCAAATATTGCAGCTTTAATGTTTGAATATTAAGTAATCACATCCTATTGCTCTTTATAGTCTTAAACATTTGCTCATTTTATCTTGGTTTACCCTTATGTGGAAAATATTAGATGCAAACCGGTGCTCAATTCAACCAAGTGGTGAATAAAAAGTCGGAAGATTTGGCCAGTACATCTCAGAAGTGCTGTTCAGCTGGACTGAAAAACGTTTGATTCACAGCTGCACAGTTAGTATTCAGCACACGTCTGAAAATGTGACTAAAGCAAACTCTAAAGGCAATATTTCATCTTTATGGCTCATTCGTCGATATCTCATTTCTGCAAATACTACTTTTTAATCCTCCAACAAATTTCGCAATTACATCACCAAAGAGCCTTTTTCCTTTGGATTAATAATAGTTGTTAATTAGTTTTGCAGATGTGTAATCAGTATTTCCAATTCGGTGACAAACATTAATTTTCATTTTCATAGTCTTCTCTGACTCACACAGTTTTGACATTACACATTTTCTTCAAGGGGAAATTACAGGTTGTTATTCTCTCAGCCTTTGAACGGTCTGGAGATTTTTCAGGTGCTGCAGTGTGTCACCCACAGACTTTACACAGCTGATGAGTAACCAGGTGACACAAGGCAACAAGCTATGATTCAGAATTTTTACTTACTTCTTAGACCCCTTTTGCTGTGACCTCACAGCAAAAAACAAGACCTTCAATGTGCCTGAACAGACGCACATGAAAAACCAAAACTGCGTGTCACAGTGTCACAATACGCCAACACAGCCACTGAAGTCAAGACGGTCATGGCAGTGTGAGACCTCTAATTTAAAATAACACCTACCACTTTAATTCTTATAGGTGAAAGGTCTTGCTTTGCCCTGGGGGTCTCTTCTTGCAAACAAGTGTCCTAGGGGAGAGTTCAGAGGTAAGTTCAACATAAAAATATTTTCCAGAGAAACGCACAACTCCCAACCCCCTTTATATAAACACTCCTACTCCGTTAGTGTACAGGTAAACTTTTGCCATTCATTTGGAACCTTTGATTGATCTTTATTCATCTCAGAGGGTGTTTTTTAATTAAAATTCAAACAAACTTGCTGACTGTTCCCAACATGTACAAAATAAATCAAGGGAATTATGACTCAGGTCTGTTAGGTTTTCACTCATCATCTCCCTGCATGACTTGATTAAAGCTCACCACAAAAACATACAAAACTGAACAGCGCCTTCCTTACTGCATCAAATGTTCCTTCAGTTGACTGACTCAGAGTTCTGTGTTATTTCAAAACACTTTTCCATTAACCCCCTCAGCCTGAACTCCTCCAAGGCTTGGATCTTTAAATGGTGTCTCGACTCACGGATGAGATTCCAAACTGGGGCTCAAATACAACCAATTATCTCTAACCTACTGTTAAAATAGGAGACCTGGCTGTGAATCTGTGTGCAGTGAAAGGGAAAAAAATGGAGTGGAATGAATCCAACCGCATTACACCGGAAGCCCCCAGACGCATGCCGGGACCAAATTATCTGATCGTGACTTTGTATACATCATGTTTTAAAAATAGTGCTATACAGATCCACAGACTGTGACTTGATCTTCTCTTGCCTGTGGTTATTACAGTATGATAAAATCAAATATTAGAGTGATGGGTGTTATTAAAGAACTGCCAGCTGGAGGAGAACAAAATGATTTGCACTGTTGTGAGATAACCACATTTACAAAAGTGCAACACCCTCAAAATGACTGATGTTTTTTAAGGACAGAAATACAACTTAAGTGCTTGGCTTTCCAAATGACATAAAAACTTTGTAATCTCTCTGACTCCCCTAAGATGTATCTTAAAAGTTTTTTTGTTTTGTTGTCATGTTTATAGGCAAGCTACATTGCCATAAGCCTTACCTTTAGCCTACTTTGTGTTTAAGGCTAATTAGGGATATTAGCAGGCTAACATGCTAAATTAATCACATATTGTATTTTTTTGTTTTGTTTTTTGGATAATGCTATATAAAACTGCTCAAATATAATCCACTCCTCCTGGTTAAATGTACTATTTTTAACTTGACAGCTCATTTTAATTAATTTTAATTAGTCTGCTGTTTAAAAACCAAGTTGTACATATAATCCTTGACCTGCTGAGTTCATCTCTACGTCTTAGTGCATTCATTCTATATTTACAGAATAACCTTACTCAAAATCACAGGACATTTCTCTCCTGTTTTCTCCTGAACTCTTTTACCTGCAAGCGACTTATAGAAATTCATGCGTTTTCTACTGTAATGGAACCAGTTCTGAGGCTTCAGAGGAGGTCTAGTTTGTGCACATTGTGAGTGCATCTAATGGAAAAGGTCCAATATAAAGATGAGGTGTAATTTGCAAGTCATAATGAGTGTGCATAATGTGGGGGAAAATGATGGAGTGAGAGAGAGAATGTATCATACATGAGAAACTAGTTGTCAGTAGGAAACATTGTATTTACAAAGAATCAGCTTATCAGGTGCTAAAAGAGCAGTTATTCTGACAAACTACCACCAAACAATCAGATCAAAAGGTAATAGTATTTTTATGTATATGACAATATTCAGGTGCCACTGTCTAATAAGGCACACTTTGTAAAGGTTTAGAAGTTGGCTGTATTATTGTTAACAAATCCCATTCTACTGCTCAGGTCAGATATCAAACTGTCTATTAGAAGTGGCTTCCTGATAAATGAAAGAGCAGAAAAGAAAAAACAAATATCATACTAGAGAGGGATAAACATCAGCCATAAAATCTGTTTTCAGTAACAGCTTCAAATTTTCTTTTTTAACATAAAAAATGTAGTCATTTTGCCAAAAAATGCCTTTGGTAGTACCATAAATAAAAATAGCAAAAAAAGAGAACTAATCTAATGGGCTCACCGCAGACTGCCGGGTTGAGCCTGGCTGGACCTTTCGACTGGCCTGGCCGAAAGAGATCCTCTTCCGCCTCATCCTAAGGAATACGTAGATGCGGATGTAGACCAGCAGAGTGACAATAAAAGGCAGGTAGAAAGACACCACTGAGGAGTAAATCACAAAGTCGGGGTTGGATATCGAACACACCGTCGGGTCATCTGAGATAAAAGAGAAACATTATGCAAAGCAGATTAAAAATTACAGGCTCATAAAAGAGACAGTAGATTGAATTTACAATAATCCTTGACCCCGGTGCATGCTCTCCTTCTTGCAAATACCCTTGATGGCTTCTCCTCTTTCATATTTCTACGCACATACTGATCTCTAAAGTGCAGCACAGATAAGCTCAGAGATGACTGTGAGATAGACGTATGATTAATCTGACAGTAACTGCACCATAAATTCACGACAGTCACCAATTTTTCAATTAAAAGTACAGATTTATCAGGTGAGCTAGCAGAGCTGTAAATTGAAGTTTGGATAAACAAAGTGATGCTGTCTTGGACCCCAGCTATGAAACATGACATATCAGTGACTTGCTCCTTTATACAGCATTTATAGTGTCAAGCTGCTCTTTTTCAGTCCTTTTCTTTTAATGGACGATAAATGATGTTTAGACCACATTTGCACCCACTGGACTCTTGTTTAAATGGTGATGCATGATTACATACTGACAAAACAGTGCAATCACTAGCCATTGTTTTGGATTCATTGTAAGTGCACTAAACCAAACGCCTCTATCTCTGTGAGTAGCTTTACACTGCGTCTGATTAATGCTCTTAATTGTGTGCGTGCACTCATCCATCTGTGCTGCTGGCTATTGAAATTAAAATAGCTACTGGTGATGTCTCTCACAATGCTCTGTCCATTTTATTCTTTAGGCGTAGATTCTCTTGTTCCCACATCACAATGGCCAATTTAAGTAGAGTCCCAGAACAATCAAAGCGGCACGTGCAGGAGATGACACCATTTGTCTTCCTCCAGTATTTGATTTGAAACCAAGGCATGGAAAATATAAAAATTAAGAAAGGAAGACATTTTTGTCTTCCTTTATTCCCTTTCTTGCTATACTATTGCTATCACCTTTACATGCAGTTATTTATTAATAACATAACCTTCTAGTTCCCTCTGTGCCTGCCCACTTGCATCCTTAAATTAAGTATGACAATGTCAAGTGACTCCTGTTTTGGACCCATGAGGGTTAAAAATGTTGTGCTTGTACAATATAGCACTACTCCCTAGTGGGTCAAGTTCCAAAGATCTTAATTCTATATTTCTCATAATTCAACTCAGTAATGTTAATGGGCTGCTTTTATGGAATGTTGGCAGAATGGGAAACAAACTGTGTATAGCTCCTTTAAAATTAGATGAACTGCTGTATTAATGTTAATAAATGTAGTTGCCAGAAATGGTGGCTTTGCGGCCATTTCTGCAAAGGTCTGTTGACCACTAGTGGTCAGTAAAAACCAAAACCTGTGACTGTGAATTCAAACTCAGATGTTGCCCTGAATAATGTGATGGTCTTTTCTCATCTTGCTCCATTGCTGGGGGTTCTGGGTTTTCATTCCTTTTTGTTCTCTCAGCCTTATATTGTTTACTATTTGCTGCTTTACAGAAGGACATGTACATTGACTGCACCAGTCAAATCCCTCGCGTGTCCTACACACCAGGCGGATTCTGATTCTGATTCTTCTTCTTGTTCCTTCTTTTCTCTCTCCCTCTACTCCCCCTCTCTCTTTTTTAAATTTATTACGAGTCTGTGTAGAGCTGGACATTCAGAAAATACACCTTCCCACAAAAATCCCATGTAAAGCTTCCCTGCATTCTCCTGTAAATGTAGATGTCTTGTATCCATGTACTGTCTTGCTACAATGCTGTTTTGTTGAAAAAAGGTCTGTCTGTGCACTACAGTCACAAATGAGGGAGTGAAAATGGTTTTTAAAAAGTGATATGAACATGTGTGTCTAAATGTCCACATATTTCAGTCTCACCATCTGCATACAGTATATCATATCAGGCTTGACAGATGCTCATGACAAAGCTACAAAAGTCATATGACATGACATTTTCACAGGCTGACCAGTACTCCCCATGACTAAGCTGGTGGAGTGCACCCTTAAATCCCCGTTTAGGTTATATTTCATGTCCCACTGCTACCTGGATGGCAAGCAGACTGAATCTTGACCCTGGATTTCAGAATAACATGGTTTCATTTGTGCATTGGATTCTATTTTGCAGTCTGCACAACTTCATTAGAATACATCTGGACAGTCAGTCATCTGAAAGTCAAAATGTTGTTGACCTGACCTGTGGTGTTGAAGCCAAAAAGCAGGGGACAGGAAACGGCAAAAGCCAGGACCCACGCAGTGGTAATCATCACCAAAACTCTCTTCCTGGAGCTATGGGTGGTGTTGTACAAAACGGGCATCACCACTGCTGTGTACCTGTGCACACACACACACACACACACACACACACACTAATTAGTCTGTCCAGCTTTAAAAATAGATGTGTACAGTAGGTGGTAACATTTGAATGAAGCGAAAAGTGCAGATATAGTACAGTTAAAGGGAACAATTGAAGAGAGGAAGAGAGGTTCCCTGAAAGAAATTGGGCTTTAGGGATGCCAAGAAATAAATTGCTGAGAGGAAACAAATACTATAAAGACCATCCATAAAACAGTAGGTTTATTCAGCAATAAACCTAGTGGAGCTTTGATTTAAAAGTTAATCAGCACACTATATGCCAACAGTGTATAATGATCCTGGGAAAACTAGGTTCAGCAATGGTTCTGAAGAAGGAGCAATTTTGCTGGACCCCGACCTAAAATGGATGTGATACTATGTTGTTTAGAGCCAGTTAACTCCCCTGATTGTTTATCTTCAGCAGACTTATTACCGTGCTCCTTCTCTGGGCAAAATTCAGCCAAACAGACACAGACACTCACTGGAGATGCTGCTACCTCCCTGCTTTACACTGACTTTACCCTCCTGCTGATCTGCTGTCTGGTTAAATAAAAGCCGAGATGAAAAAGTGGATTAATGAGAAATAATGCAAGTGATGGTTTTATTGATCAGCTGTTGCTTAAAGTTATACTTTCAGTGGAGAATGAAAAAAGGGCTCTTCTGCTCTGAGTCACCGCTGTGTGTACTTTGACAAAGACACTTCACCTTGAAGTTTGATGCAAGAACTTCCTTTCTGGTGTACTTACGGGGCCTTTGGTTTGATTCATTGTTTAAAAAGACAAGAAATCCACCTGCTATCACAGCAATATGTGATATGAGCTTATAAATAAATAATGCTGTCACAAGGGTACAGCAGGTGTGTTGTAAACGTTTAATGGCACAGAATGCCTGTGGCGTTTTCCATTTATTTAGGCCTCTCTCAAAGCTTAATACAGCACTTGACGGCTCATTTTAATACAGCAAAGAGAAACTGATTCAAGACACAACCTTGGAAAACACCACAAGACAGAGATTCAGTGCGTGTGACATAGTTTAACAGTAGCTGAAAACAGTTTAACAGTAGCTGAAAACCTTCTGTCAGAAAGGTAAGAGGAGAAACAGAATTTTGGGATTTCATCAAGTATTAATTATACAGTACATACTGCTGATAGGTGGATTTCCATCGATACTCAACTCTGCCACGGCTCCATTTACAACAACAAATAGTATTGTTCATCTGGGAGAAACTGATCACGAGAGCTATTTTGGTCTTTTTAGGAGCAACCCTATCCAGGACTGAAAGGCAGTGTTCATTAAAGGCTTGTAACTTATAGTGTGATTATAGAAGACAGCTGAAACCTTTGCTGCTGAGAGATGGTTTAGGGTGTAAGAGCTAATTTCAAAGTGATAAGACAAGGTATCCCAATTAAAAGACAAGTTAAACCAGAAATAAAAAGATCCTTAGATTAAACAGAATCAATATTAAAACCAAGAGTAAAAATGTGGTTCAGATCCCTTTGATGTGTTTAGGGCCTGATTCATGTTGAGTGAGATCAAAAGTATTAAAAGTCTCAAAAACTTGAGCATAGATGACAGAAAATCATTAAATTAATTTTAAAAAGGAGCTGGTGGGGCTGGGCAGATGCTAAATTAAAATATAATGAAAGGAACTGGCACATCCAACGTTAATCAGTTGTACTTCAAAAGAAAAAAAGGGCCCTTTCAATCATACACACAAGCAAATGATTAATCACAATTTTACTGAAACCTATATATGAACCACTTGAGCACATTATAAACTGATAAATTAGGGTTTAAAACTTTGACACTCTACAAAATGCACATTAGGTACAAATAGTCAACACCTGGGCCTCAAAAGTCCCAAGTGTTGACAGTAGCCTTTGCTATAAAAGTGCCCATCATATGTGTTATTAACTACAGAGGAAGGCAAAACACCTACTCTTCCTCCATGCATGCTGCACCAATAGATCCCCATGATACCTCCTGTGTTTATGTAGGAGCTTAATTTATTCATTCAGTGTAATTGCACTCTCGATGCTTGTGGGTTGTAAGTTGAAAGATCTGAGCTATTAACTGTGACACGAGAAACAAACGAGCAAATAAATAATGTAAATACTAGATGGACATCTACAGCACAGTACCTCCTGCACTAATGACAACAAATGCATGGCGATAAACACAGCCAAGGATGAATGAAACAAGCAAACCTCAACCTCCTGCATTATGTACTGTTTTCTTAGCTGTCTATTAATCTGTCACAACCAAACAGATATATGCACAGGCACACATCTATGAAGATATAATACTAGTAGGGCAGTGAGGGAGGGTAGAAAGGTACTTAGCATGCTGTGTTGTCTTCTGATATTTCATGGCATCATAATGACTAGTGTGGCTGAATAGTAATAACACTGACAGCCATTTTAGTAACTGCAAACAAACAGGGATCTTGAGCCGTCCTATTGCCACTGGGTATACTTAACCTTACCAGTGGGTCTCAGTCAACAGGATGACCTTAATTTGTGGCCATGTAGTGGTGTCTATTAAATTACTGGACATGCCTTCTAGGATAGGTTTGGTCTATTGTACCATCCCTTAGCTATAGGCCTAGGCTGGGTGTCTCTATAATACTGTATCCTTACTATATAAAGTGCTCTGAGATAATTGTTATTGTGAACTGGTGCTATACAATTGAAAAGCAAATATTGTCTTTCTCCAGGAAGCTGTGAAATACAATGTCTATAAGGAAGAAAAGCTGGATCTATGGAAGTGTCAGATGGATGACCATTATGCTGGAGATGACATGGCGACATCTATAGCCTTACACAGTAACACACACTTACACAGATCGACACTGCACACTCACCTGTCAATGCTGATAGCACACAGGTTAAGGATACTGGCGGTGCACATCATCACATCCAGAGTGACAAAAATGTTACAGTAAAGCCGGCTGAAAAGCCAGGCACCGCCGACCACCTGCACAGGACAGAGAGGCAGATTAAAAACACTTCTCGTCTCCTTTTCCCCAGTTTTTCACAGTGTGAAGCACCTATTGAGTGCACACATGAACGCACACATTCATCCCTGTGTCAAAGAGAAGAAAGAGGAAAGAAGGTGCACATAAAAGATATGTCCTACAGCAATACATACAGAAAAACAACAAGCCTGAGCTGCCAAATGTCCTGCCATACTAATACACTAATCGGAGAGTATTTTATACATGTATTAGCAAATATTTTATGTCAGCAGATAACATTAGCTGCAAGGTGCTGTGAAATGGTCAAGTGAACTGCAGTGATGGACATGATGGATAACACTACTGTTAACATATAATGAGAAACCAGAATCGAGGGAACATGACAAAAACAGATTTTATCCTTTGGGGTGTTTCCATTTCTCAGAAAGGACATTCATCCCCAGCTAGACCACAAACACCCCAAACCCTCATACTGCCACTGCCATCCCCCCAGCAGAGCCCTGCTCAGACTGACAAGCTTACACTAATGCCAGGTAATAGCTGTCTGATAAAGATAAATAGAATCCTACATTGTCTTTAATTCAAAATGGGAATATATGCCTATATAGAGAAGCTGCATGCACACATACAAAGGTGTAAACAGACAACGGTCTGACCAGAGGTGTCACACACAGAGAGACACATACTCAAGCACAGTTATGTGCTAATACATAATACTGTGCAAAGTACTTACATTGATTTCCTAACTCCTATCCCTGATTTCAACTCTCACACCTAACCTTCTTCTTAAACATCTAAAAGTTTACTAGTCATGTTTAGTATCACTTAGCTGGTGAGAACAGTTGTCTCTCCTCTATCCACTCACCCCAACCGGTCGAGGCAGAAGGCCACCCACCAAGAGCCGGGGTCTGTCGGAGGTTTCTTCCGTTAAAGGGAGTTTTCCCCCCCAACTGTCGCCAAGTGCTTGCTCAAGGGGGATTTGTTGGGTTTTCCCTATGTTGTCCTGAGATGACTTTTGTTGTGATTTGGCGCTATAGAAATAAAATTGATTTGATTTGATTTTGATATAGAGTCTTTAGTATCTTTCAAGGAGCTTTGTCAAGTGTCAGAAAATAACCTTGATGATCTCATAGTGATGTCATCAGGGTTGTCGTGGATTGGGTTTTGGGACAAGAACTTTTAATCAAAAAGCTTTCCACGAACTCTGGTTGTGGAGACTGAAAGATGTGAAGGTGTTTAGCAGAGAGTGGTGTAATGACAGATGCGAAGTTACATTATGGGATCCAACATTTTAGGAGCTTGGCCCTTAGTGTCCTAAAGTCATATCAAATACACAGTGTTTCTAAGCAGGTTTTCATTTTGAGTTTGATTAAGCTGTGTGTTCACATGAGAGAAGTGTTAAAAATAAGTACAATCAAATTTGTGTGCATACCCAAAAAACGATCAGTTTAAGTGTGTGCTGTTGATGAACACTATTGATCCACAACACATTGCACACAAAGGAAAATGAGGAGCTGCTCACAGCTGTAAAAGAAATTAAAGTAAATTGCAAATGGTTTGAGACAAAATTATCTGAGAAAATAAGAAAATGTATTACCTGTTCAGAAAAAAACATTTTTCATATGTACTTGAAAGTGTCAGTTTGATTGATGATGATGTACAGTGATGCAGCAACATTATTATTTCCTGTTATATGAACCAGTAAAGTTGCTGATTTTTGGAGACTAACTGCAAAAACAGGGATATCTGAACCTCTGCTGCATCAGTTCTCTTTTTAATCCCTCTTAGAAATTCCCCATCTTTATGGAGGGACAATACTAAATCACCACACAATCCCTTTAATCTCGGTCCTAAACCCAGTTAAAGAACAGTTATTCCCTTTGTTTGGCATGTCACTATTATCTTTTTAATCAAGACATAATCATAAGTATAGAAACAACACCAAAACATCTACAGTATATGCTGTATCTGGGAGCACTTGTTTGTATGATGTCACTAAGACACATATTGAATATTGTGTGCACAGTGTGGGAATACAATACTGACTCAGTGGGGCTCTGCAAACACCTTATATTGACTGTGTTGGAATTTACGTGATCTATAAAAGTAAAAAGACAGCACAGCAGAAGCAGCACGTTTTAGGCCAGGAGATGATGACCGATTCCCCTAGGCACAGGTTGGCATTTGTTTATACTGCTTTTCAAAAATAAAACAAACACTGGATTATAATATAAAGTTACAAGAAACCTGTTTCTGTAAATGTAGCATAAAGAACAAATGTAGATATGACAAGATGAAAACTTTAATATTAGTGTAGTGTAAGTTGAGGTACATCGTATTATTTAATTTCAAGTTTTCTGTCAAATTTCACTGCATTCTATGAAATAAAACACTACTGATAAAATCTTGACCTGAGAGAGGAATAACCTCCACACAACAAATGCAGTCTTTTATATAGTCAGGTCGTACATTTGCTGAGGCTGTGCAACATAATTTAAGATGAATTGTGGAACGCTTAGTCACTGCTGCCAATACAACCAATTCCTTCAAGTTGAAGCCATAGATCAGCGGTGCCATCCAGGGATAAGCTGGCTTGCTCAAGGGCACATGATTAGTACCAGCTTGGAGGACGGTACTCACTCACTTCTCCAGCTGAGACAGAAGCAAAACAGGAAGCCCTCTGGTCACAGCATCCTTCAGACTAGATATGATGCCAGTCTTGGGGATCTTTACCTCGTTCTCTCAACTAAGGTTTTTCCCAGCTTTATTACTGAGCTTTACAATGATGCTACATTAAATGACATTGCTGCTTTGTGTATTACTATCAATTAATGATCCTTTCCTTATGGGATTGTAAGTCTCTCTTTTGAATCCAATATAAAAATGCAGCACATGATTTTACAGCATGACTGCCTGCATGGAAGTCAAACACATGACTGAATCCTTCCTGGCTACCTTTATTTACCTTTAATAGAATAGAAGCATCTTTAATTTGACAGTTTCTGCTCACTGAGTGTGCTAAGTTATTTTCTGGTTGACCTGCCACTGAATCTTCATGCTCCCTGTGAGAAATAGTGCTTTCTGCTGCTGGAGAGCCTACTTAACTGGAACTCAACCAAATGATTCTTAGAACTCATGTGGGCAAATACATGCCCTTGAACATCATAAGTCAGTCTCCGAAGCTTAAGGGCTGCTGTTCCACACACCCACATGGCTCTGCCTGTATGCTTTTACAATCAGGGCACCTCTGCAGAGCATTTGCAGTGTGGCAGTGTATTACTTTGACAAAATGTGGATGCCTGAGGGTCATGTACAGCAGCACAGTTAATGGAGTTACTGAATACTGAGTGACATGTAGAGGGAGGCAGAGGTAATTAGCAATAAGACAAACCTTATGACACTAACCATTGAAGTTTAGATAAAAAATTTACAGCTACCATACAAATCAATTAGCCTTAAAGGGTTGACTAAAACAAATTTTATAGGTTTGCAGTTATTTCTTAATAATTTGACGCTCAGCCAGTTTCCCCCAGAAGATTAGGTCATAATTTGTTAAAAATCAATATGCCCTTCAGCAATTATGTATAATGAATGAAACACAAATAGTGAAGCACTGTCTAAACTACTTTTCATCATCATTACTGCTGTCCTATCTCCCAAACCACTGCCATCATGTAATAAGCTCCAAATGACCATCATCAATTTTTCACTGACTCTACCTTTTTTGTTGCACATTCTCCCCTTTGTCTCTTTCGCAAACCCCTGTCCTTTCTCCTCTCCTCTTCAGTGTCAGCTACTCACTCATTGCCAGGCATTTGTATTTCAGTCTTCTCCACATACACTGTACTTCCTTTCCATTTTTTTATCTTCCTGAGCAGCTCAGGAATGAACATTGTCACGGGCTTCCTGAGTGGCCTCCTCCTCCTGTCTGGTCCTGTAGTCTTCCTGAACTCTCCTGCTCCTCAACTCAACAATCTCTGGGCCATATTCTCAAGATCTTTGGTTCCTTTCTTCTCCGGCCCCCAGGTCATCCACCCATGGTTTCTTGATCCCTGGTTCTCCAGCTGCCAGGCCATCTATACAAGGTGCCAAGATCCTCTGTTTTCCTACCCCTGATGCCCTGAAGCCTGGCTCAACCCTGGTTCTATTACTGTTATATGTCAGCTCCTCACACCTCTGTGTTTCCTGCCTCAGAGTGCCACCCAGATGTGTGAGAAACTTGTTCATCTTGGATTATCCTGTGTTGACTTTTAACTCAGTTTTTCTCATCTTGGTTTCTCTCCTGGACTGGACTATCTGTGTACACACACATATACAGTGAGGAACAGAAGTATTTGAACACCCTGCGATTTTGCAAGTTCTCCCACTTAAAAATCATGGAGGGGTCTGAAATTCACATTGTAGGTGCATTCCCACTCAGAGACAGAATTTAGAAAAAAATTTCAGGAAATCACATTGTATGATTTTTAAAGAATTTATTTGTCTAGCACCGCTGAACATAAGTATTTGAACACCTGAGAAAATCAGTGTTAATATTTGGTACAGAAACCTTTGTTTGCAATTACAGAGGTCAAACGTTTCCTGTAGTTCTTGACCAGGTTTGCACACACTGCAACAGGGATTTTGGCCCACTCCTCCACACAGATCTCCTCTAGATCTGTCAGGTTTCGGGGCTGTCGCTGAGCAACGCGGAGTTTAAGCTCCCTCCAAAGATGTTCTATTGGATTGAGGTCTGGAGACTGGCTA